AGCATAATTAGAGTAATATTTTTTATAAATTTTCTCAGTAGAATCTTCAAAAGTTTCTCCAAAATGGAGAAAAGGAGATTCACAATCCAAAACAAAGTGGCCTCCTAGTCAACTAGGGTTACATCTACTGTGAGAAAAATCCCCTGATGATATTTTTTCCTGTAAGGGCTTAGTAACATTGAGTTTGAGGGGTGGGTTAAGCTGCTTTTAAAACTCAGAGTACTTCTCATGTGTGTCTGATCCTCAAACCACAATTATTTCAGGAATAATTTTTCTTAAAATGTGGTAGACCTGAATCTCTTAGAAAGTAATTCTAACCAACTGATCGAAGACACTGCCATTCTAAAACAAAATTAACTTATGAATGAGGTCCTAAATGGGCAAAACACTACCACAAACTTTATAGAAGGAAACCTAAGTAATAAAAGACCAATTCTATGCCTTTAAAGAGCTTAAAATCAAGTCATCGAGGATATGAGTCTTGTTAAGGTTATGCAATTTAAGAAATTAATATGGGCCATAGAAATGACACAAACAAGAACACAGATAAGGTAGATAATATTTCTCTTTTGTACAAGAGAAAAATAGAAATGAAGAAGTATATTGAAAGCCATGTACAAAAAGCCATACTTTACATTGCAGAAATGATGAGTCATTAGACACATTTAAGTAGAAAAAGACTGTGTTTTAAGGAGATTAATCTTTAACAGTGTATAGATTGGACTTAACGTGGAGGAATAAATTGATGCAGGAAGATCAGCTAGAAGATAAGCTTGCAACTGCGTAGGTAACAGCCATTGAGGACTTAAACTAGACTGATGGCAATCTGAATAAGTTGAAAACAGTACAGGCATGGTGACTGAATTGCTGTACAATTATGAATTGTGAAAGTAGATCCTGTTTGCATCTGATAACCCTTATAACAACTAACAGTCCTAATCCTAACTCATTTCTCTCTAAATCTATAGTGAACTCCTCTACCAAAGCCCCTGGGGAGAAAAGGAGTTCTTCCATGAAAACACTAATCAGAAAGTCAAAGAAAAAGGCTTCCATTTTTCTCCAAAGAGTGACCTGCTACTGTGAGTGAAGCAAACTTACGCCAGGGCTGTCATTTTCTTGGTACTTGGCAAACCTGGTTCAGAGAATGTAAGAATGTTTAAGGCATGATGAACCACTGACCCAGGGAAAGGTTTATAGCTCTGGAAAGAGCCATGATCTAGCCTTAGGAGAATTTCTGGCCCTGTCCTTTAGAAGTAAGGAAATTACCTGAGGGGACAGGGAAAAATTTAATTTATGGGTTAGATAGGAAAAAACAGTTTTCAGCTACCAGAGAAAAGACTGCTGCTATGAGAAAAGATGGGTTAGGAGCCCCTTAAGAGTAAGAACAATCTTAGCTTCCATGTTAAGTGACTGATTTCATGCCCTGACAAAACATGGAGATCAAAACTAGCACCAGGGAAGATGGCGTGAAGACAGAAGATGACATCCTAAAGTCTATAGAGACTACAGAAGCAATACCAGCACCAATGACAAATATCAAGAGTATATTAAACCTGCTATATCCATATATTGTACCACCTAACTCAGGTCAGGTGTAACAACTACAACAAAAACCATGATTTGAATCAAGGTAAACTTAAAAACAAAGGAATTGTTCAGAACTTTGGCTAATGATTGACTTATTCACATTCACAAAGTTATTTGTTCATGGCAATAATTGAACAACCTTGGAAATCTCAGCACTTATTTCATGTATTTTTTTTTCTTTTGCTATTTTACCTATTTGAAAGGGAGGTCAAAACAGAAGCTTTTCTTTTTCTATTTGTCAATCTCTGTGTCATCAAAGTGACATTTAAACACATCAAAATGTCTGATGCTGGGTAGCCACGGGCATGTATCATGCAGATATTCCTCAGAGAAAATCTAGGAACAGTTGGATGACAGCCTTCAGTAACCACACCTCCAGAATCAACTGCAGCGTTCACTTGAGGCCAAACTCTCCCCAAGCTGCTGTCAGTGTTCAGTGAGTAAACTTGATGAGGGGAATAAGCTGCCCCTGTATGCTCAAGGTGGGACTCCTGTAACAGACAGCCTCACCTCTAGCACTCCCCATTGGTCTGACTGACACTTTATTGCAGTTTAATGGCAGTTTCATTGCAGTCAGTTTAAGTCTTTTCATACCTAGTCCTCCTTCTTTCTCCTCCCTCTTTTCCAGGCATCAGACCTATATCATGGTCCAAGGCACTTCTTGCCTACTCCTGTGGTCTGTCTCTCCACTTTACCTGAGATGTTTCTCCCCCAAAAGCTCTTGTACGTCTGTCACCTCGGTATGGCTCTTAGCTTACGTATGTGACAAAAGTTACCAAACTCTTATAAAAGCACTAAGATGTTAAATGTTAAATGTAATGATTTCACTGAAACAAGCATCTTTCCAGCCTTCTCTTTTTCTGTGCATCTTTTCTCTCTTCCTCTCAGTTCTTTTCCAAGAACCTGTCTGAATTTTTATTGTAACAGATAGGAAAAATAAAGTTTGGCATGTATTTTCCAGCAACACTTACAGGAGATGTACAGAGAATGAGCAGAAATCAGCAGCACTGTTAATTCCATTATCGGGTTTCAGTGTGTATAGATTGTGCTTTTATTGACACTTGAGAAGTGAGAGGGAAGGATGGACGTGGTTTGGCTCTGAACTCATTAGGGATGCTGACGGCAGAGAGGTGAAGGATATAGTAGCCTTGCCCTGAAGCAGCAATGACTCCCTATTTTCAGAGTCTGTTCCAATGTCAGTTTCCCAGGACAACAGAAATTTTAATATTGAGGATTACAGCAATATTTTACTCTACTAAAATATATATATTTAAATATTGATAGGGAAAGTAAAATAAACAAATATTTCTGGAATAGGTTGTGACTGAAAGCTTGCATTTTAATGTACTCTTCAGGTTCTTCAAGAGGAACCTGCCTTCAGATAACAGCAAATTCTCTTGTAGACTAAAAATTATCACCTCTTTCCCATACCATCATAATTCCAAAATCCCTTGCTAAGCCCTTGAAATAGGAAATTTCTGGAAAAATAATGTGGAAAGGATCTAAAGAATTGAAATGAAAAGATGACCTATCGTAGCTAGACATTTACACAGCATACACTTAACAACATGGATGGAGATTAATTCTGTTGCTCTGGCAATGATAAAAGTCCATATTCAGATATGAGTTAAGAAAGCAAGTTGTTTTCAAGTGACGGATGCCACAGGAAGGTAGGAATTTAAAGAACTGTAAGCTCATAAACTCAGATAAGCCTCTAAGACTATGACATACAAATGTTTTTTAAATTTAAATTGGGATTCAACTTATTTTCTAAAATAAACATTTTATTAGTTTTGTCACAGTATCATTTTTTTATAAACTTAAAGACAGTATATGTGGGGTAGTGGGGAGAGAGTAATCCATTTATAACCTGAATTTTCTATAAATAATCCATAGTGAACTTTTGCCACAGTTCGTTTTTATAACATATTTAAATTACTGTGACATTACAGATGTGAATATAAATCTTCACATATTTAAAGGACATTGAAATGTTTGTATACATAAATAATATCTAGTTACTTATTTGAAAAATCTCAGTAAAAATGATGTTATTATCCAGGAGCTTTAAATTTGAAACTTAAAATTTTTCATATGTTTAATTTAAAGAAAATAGCATGTGGATGTTATTTAACAAAATTCATTTGAAGAGGATGGGAATATTATAAAACATAACCGTGAGACTATTTCTTTGCCCCTCCAAAAAACCCTAAACCATATATCTAAATTTTGCTTCTATTTCTATTGTACACAAAAATGTTCAAATTTCAACACCTACAAAACAATTTAACTATCTATCCTGTGCATTAGCGTTGGTCCACACATTACACTTCGAAAATTGATTATATGTTTGTTCATTTACAATAGTATCTAGTATCATTTACAATAATGACACAGAAATATTCTGGAAAATTCATTAATAGATGAACAAACATTACATAAATGTTTTGAAATATTTACATCGCTTATGAATAATGAAGTGCAAAGTTTTCCAAGGTATGTTGTCAAATAGTAAAAAAGAAAAGGTAAGGAAAAAGAAACCCACAAGTTGCAGATGAAATATAGCATAGTAATTAAGATCAGAGACTCTGGAACTAGACTACCTTTTGAATACCGACTTTGCTACTTACTAGGTGTATGAAGAGAAAGGTTTGGTTTTGGTTGCTTTTCTTTATTTCTTTGTTTTTAACTACGTTATACATCAGTTTCCTCATGTGAAATGGAGGTCAAAATAGTACTTACCTCACAGGGCTATTGTAAGGAACAAATGAGTCATTATATATGAAACAATTGTAATGATATCTGCTATTATGTCAGCACTAAACTAGTGCTTCTTTATTTACATATAGAATGGCCTAATTTATGTTCAACACACAGAGACAAACAAAACTATTATTCTATATGAACTTATAGAACATATATGTTTGAAAGCACACAGAAAAAGGCCTAACAACACACATGCCAAACTGATACCAATGTATCATTAGGGGCATTAAAGGAAATCCCTTGCTGTTTGAGTATCTTACATAGAAAATATAATTAATACATTATTTTGTGATTACATTTTAAATACTTTATACACTCATTAAATGGAACTATAAAAAATAATGGTGAAGATTACATTTACTCACTTATTGACATAAAAAATGTTCATGCATCGTAAAGTGCAAGCAAGCAGATCAAAACACTATTAATTTTATTAACATGAACTCAGTAATGTAAAATTATACGGTTATGTTTTGTGTATGGAATGATCATGTTAATGTTTATTCTGGCTAGGTGATTTCAACTTTGTTCTTTATATATAGATACATGTGTATATAATTAAACATAAATACACACAAATCTATACATTACTTTTTTAAAAACACTATAAAAGCTATTTTACTGTGAAAAGAAAGCAACAGCAAGACAAGCTAATTATGCCATCATGCAACATTCTGCATTCAAAATACATATGTTGAGAACCACTGATGAATGGAATGAATTAGAGAGGTTATGAATGTACTTACCCACCAAACGCCTGAAGTGCAGAGAACTGGGAAGCATCCAAATCACTGCCACTTACTATTCGAGCCTTCAACGAAAATGGAGAAAAACAAAAACAAAACAAAAGAAAGAGGCTTTTAGCATCCTATAGCTGTGTATACATGAATTTGGAACACGCGTCAACTGCACTAGACACGTAACACCTAGTATGACAGATGCTAAGCAGGGTCAGCTTCAAGTCAAAGCTACTGTGTTTTTGTGAGTGGAGGTTTTGAAATTAGCTGTCAGCATTCAGACAAAAGCACTGGCAGAGTCGAGGAAAATATCATATTCCAAATACTATTTGCCCTTAAAACTTGGTATGTGCAGTGAAGATCATGAATCAGTCAGAGAGATCATGATTCGCCAGACTTAAAAACAGATGCTGAGTTTGACCGTAGCAGACCCCTAGGTTGGCAAGTGTAAGCTAAAGTAAGCGAAGCTGGCAAGGTGTAACCTCTTCATAAATGCAACAGATTGGGGCACACTTAAAGGACAACCAAAGAATGGAAAGCTGGGATAACATGCACAGTTCACAACTAAAACAGAAGAACCAAAACAGGTCTAATATGTCACAAACAAACATGTACAAAAGACAAGATCCCTCAGGAGGGAAGAAAAAGTATGATTTAAAACCTTTTCATCCACAGAACTGCTATCTGAAAGAGAATCAGGAAAAGAAGGAATAAATGTTAGATGGAGTACTTTTCAAGAAATCATTTAAACATATACATGAACAAAGTGTTAGTGTTATATAGTTTAAAATCATAAATGAACCCCAAGGGAAGAAGGATAGTTGGTCCTCACAATTTAAAGAGCCGGAAAATGTGCCAGAATGCTTGAAAAGTATAAAAGAGTGATTACAGGACTTAACGAAAGACAATGTGTCGTAAAAAGAAAAGAACAGTTTAAGTATCAGAATGCCTAGGCTCCAGTTGGGGCTCTGCCACTTACTAAGCACACTGGGCAAACTACCAAATTCTCTGGAGTCTGGAGGCTAGACCTAACTCTGAAATAAAGTCACTAATACTTTGCTTTTTGCCTCCAAACGTTGTGGAGAGGATCAATTAAGATCAATATATATGAAAGTAAACCCCAGGTGACTATATAAACTAAAGATGTTTTATTGAGGGATTATTTATGGCTTCTCATAGAACTTCAGAACTAAAAGATTAATTAAGTATATTTCATCTTGCAAATAAGAAAACTTGCCTGAAGGGATTAAATGACTTAGGATCCCAAAACTAGTAAATGACAGAGTGGGACACAAATCCCGGGCTTCTGATCCCCCACCTGCTGCCCTTTAGATCCAATGTTTCAGGTGAATTGAACAAAACAGTGAGGGGTGGTTGAGCCACAGTTCTCCAGTGCAACTTAAGATAAATCACAAGGTCAACATTTATCACTTTCAACTGCTCATGGGCCCAAGTAGATGAACAATGGACTACTGTTTGTTTGTTGTTGTTTTTTCCTTTTTGAAACTCAAGTCTAAATCTGTAAGGGTCATCATAGCATGGTCCATTTCTACCTTACATAGTGTTATTGCTTTTTAGCATAAAGCTGGAGGGATTTCTCTATCAATGCAAGTTTGCAGAAAGCTAGAGCTGGCAAGACCTTACAGTTCATGTAGTCCAAACCCCTTATTTTTATAGATTAGCCCCAGAGACAGAAAGATTTCCCTGAGGTCATGTAACTCAATGATGACCTTTATTGATAAAAATCTGAAATATATTTATTTTCTTGACTCATTAAGTATGAACCAGTTAATATAACTAAATATTTTTGTGCAATAGTTCAGATTTTACAATATCCCAGGGTTCTATCTTTGAATATAAAACAGGGTAAGGCACAATATAGAGTAATAAAGCAAATCTTATTTATGGCCATAAGCATTTTTAAATACTTCACAAAATACAGAAAATAAAATTCAGCACAGTATCAGAAGAATAATATATCACAGCCACGAAGATTTTTTCATAAGCATGATTTAAAATCACTGACGAATTTAACATGACATATTAACTGGTCATAAAATACATATCTGCATTTCAACAGGAACACAGAAGTTATTAGATAAAATTTCAAAATCTTCCAAATAATTTTTAACCTATTTAAAATAGGATTGGAATGAGTCTTAAGTTTAATATGCTAAAAACATCTTTCAGAATCAACTTAAGTGTAAAATATTAGGGCATCCCTATTATTAAAACAAAAACGTTCACTACCGTATTTTAACTTAATTCCAGAAATTCTGACCAATATATTAAAACAGAAATAAACAACACCAATGTTGAAAGGTAAAATACAGAGTTATTATTTTTCAGGAATTACAGTATTATACCCTGAAAACAAGCCAAACCAAACCACCTGGAAAACTATTAGGATAATAAAATAGGTGGCAAAGTGAATATATAACCAACACATCAAATAACAACATTACGTTATTTCCTACTAACTAGCAATAACTAGTTTGGAATACAAGGACATTAGATCTCATTTCAAATATCCAGTACTGTGATACAGTCTTCCATTCTAACTGGCTTCTATAGCAACCACTTGACTATATAAAGGTAATCTTACCAAAGTTGTTATTTTTCAGCTGCTAAATGTGGTAATACATTAACTTTTCATTCATTGATTCATTCATTCTTTCACTGAATACATATTTTTATTAATTATCAATGAAGCTTTGTTGTTCACTTTGACTCCTTTCTTGTCCCCATTTGAAACCTTTCTGAAATACAAATATGATGTCACTTCCCTTTTTAAAACCCACCAATGTCACCCAATGCCCGTTTGAGAAAATTAGATCTATATATACTAGAAATTCATGGCTCACCAGTCCTCATTCACATCCTACACTTTGGCCACAATTAAATTCTTGCCCTTTAGTTTCCATGACATGTCTTTTAAATATGTACCTTTGCATTTTCAGTTTCCTCCCCCTAAAAGAAGTTGCTGCTTTCTTCATCCAGCTAACTGCCTGTCAGCCTCCAAAACTCAGTTGAAGCATAACCCCCTCTCCTGGAATCTTGTCACTTTTCAGGGATTCATGGTATTTATACATGAGCGCTGCACACTGTGTATTCCTCTTGGCTAACCCTCAAAATTTCCCAATTTCCTTATCTGAAATTATTCTAAAAAAGTGTCTCAATGATACTTTAAGCTTTTTGTCAACTTCCATTATATTCCTGAAACACCAGGAGATGACTAATAAATGTTTGCTAAGCAGTGACTGTACAACCTTACATAAGCTATACAACTTTATTGAAGTATTTAAAAATCCATATAAAGAAAACTATTATTTCATCTTTCTGTATAGGGAGGATGAATTACTTTCTAACAGATTTATAGATTTAACAGTTAAAATCCTAATGGCAAGTTGTTGTAACTTGAAATTATTCTAATTTTAAGTATAACTAGGTCAACAAACAAACAAGTAAAAACACATAAGATTGTTTTAAAGGAGATTAATGAGGGCAGATTACACAAATATTGAAAGTCTATAATAGCTAAAATATTATGGTTGTGGCAAAATAATAGAAGATCAATGAAACATAAGTATACATACTTATGTATACTCTAAAGTAATATACCCTTATACTTAAGAACTTAGTGAATAAGAAAGGACATATTATTATCAAAGAAAATGAGAAACATTAGTTAATAAGTGATGCTTATGGGGGCAGAGACAAGATGGCAGAGTAGAAGGACTTGAGCTCACCCCCCTCACCAAAACACCAAAATCACAACTGACTGCTGAACAACCATTGACCAAAAAACACTGGAAACTACCAATAAGACAAAGAAGAAGCCAAATGAGACACTAGAAGAAGCACGATCATGATAAAATCAAATCACATATCTGCCAGGTGGGTGACCCACAAAATGGAAAACAATTATATGACAGAAGTTATCCCAGAGGAGTGAAAGTTCTGATCCCCACATCAGGCACCCCATCATGAGAGTCTTGCATCAGGAGGAGTCCCCAGAGCATCTGGCTTTGAAGGTCAGTGGGGTTCTGATCACAGGAATTCCACAGGAGTGGGAGAAACAGAAACTCCACTCTTGGATGTTGCACACAAGGTCTTGTGCACACCCAGACGCAGGGGAAAAAGCAATGACCTCATAAAAGCCTGCGCCAGACCTACTTGCAGGTATTGGAAGGTCTGCTGCAGAGGCAGAGGGAGGCTGTGGCTCACTGCAGGGGAAAAGATAATGGAGGCTGTAGTTCTAGAGAATACTCATTGGCAAGAGCCCTCCCGTAGGTCACCATTTTCCCACAAGACCTGGCACCACCCAATGGCCTGTACGCTCCACTGCTGAAACACCTCAGGCCAAACCACCAACAGGGTGGGAACACAGCCCCACCCATCTGCAGACAGGCTACCTAAAGTCTTCCTGAGCCCACAGCTTCCCAATGAACATACCCCTTCACATGGCCCTGCCCACCAGAGGGACAAGACCAAGCTCTAGTAACCAGTGGGCAAGAACCAGCCCCTCCCACCAGAAAGCTGGCATAAGCCCCTTAGACCAGCATTATCCATCAGGGGACAGACAGCAGAAGCAAGAAGAACTAAAACCCTGCCTCCTGAGGAACAGAAACAGCAAACACAGGAAGTTAGACAAAATGAGACAGCAGAGGAATGTGTCCCAGATGAAGGAACAAGATAAAACCCCAGAAGAACTACTAAGTGAACAGGAGACAGGTAATCTACCTGAAAAAGAATTCAGAGTAATGATAGTAAAGATGATCTAAAATCTTGGAAAAAGAATGGAGGAACAGACAGAGAAGATAGAAGAAATGTTTAAAAAAGAGCAAGAAGATCTACAGAACAAACAGAGATGAACACTACAATAACTGGAATAAAAATACACCAGAAGGAATCAATATCAGAATACATGAATCACAAGAATGAATAAGTGAACTGGAAGACAGAATGGTGGAGATCACTGCTGCAGAACAGAATAAAGAAAAAAGAATGAAAAGAAATGAGGACAGTCTAAGAGACCTCTGGGACAACATTAAACACACCAATATTCTCAGTA